CTTTTGTAAGATTTTTTCGCTTGGCTCTTGCCATATACTCGCAAGTTGAGTCGCTTGGCAGTACTTAGCATGGGCAGGGGGAGCTTTTCACTACGTGGAATAACTACGTCAGCAAGTTCAGGGGTGAGTGAATTTTGACAGTGCTTCAGAAACGAAGCTATTTATAAGTTATACCCATCACTGAGAGTGGCAGAAGCCAGGTTGTTAACAGCCGTGTAAAGAAGACAAGGGCTAACATGCTGTAAATACTGATTATATTACATTATTACATTTTAATGCACTATATTAAAATAGTCTATATGACTTCCTAGACCATACATTTGCAATAGAGGTTTAAAGAGGTTTGCATTATTTGCAACAATCAATAAATAGTGTGAATCCTTAAAACTCTCCGGTGAGGTGGCAGATTAATTAATGAAGAACGTTTTAACGTGATATTTGAGGATTGTTACATAATGAAGAGCCAGTTATTTTAAGTAGACGTCCATGTGTCGCATGATATACTGTGTCCAAGCTGGTACACACTCTTCAGGATACCAGACATGCTCACTTGTGGGGAAATAATGTATACATGGTATTAAATTGCAAACCATTACTCGGCATTATCTGTCATGCTAAGGGTGCACTTGTGAAATCCCGTATTAAAACACAAACTGAGAAAGAAAAAACAGATATTTTCCCAGGATGACTGTTAGCATTTATATCAGCAATGTGCTAACAATATGCAAATAGTTTACGTTATGTAAAATATTCACGTTATAAAATTCTTAAGTATTCCTGTTCCAGGGTTTGTTGCTGCTTCACTCTGGAATTAATTGGCAATTACAATTTAAGGCCTCTTGTTAAGAGGCCTTTTCTATTATGTATTATCTGCTCAAAGTCTTTTTACTTCCACTCAAGTGGAGCATCCCCCTGCATTAAATTCCCCTCTTCCATGCTTTTTCACCATGTCACTGTGCTTGTTTCCTAAAATACGCTCAAGTCGGGGCACTTCCTATATAAAGTGTGGGCAGGGTTTAGACCATCATTCCAACATCTGTTTCTTCTCCTTCTCTTACCCCTGAGACGTTTACGTTGGATGAGCTGTATAGCTGGTCTCCTGGAAGGTCCTTTCCTGAACTTTAAATAATTTTTCTAAGTTCCCAGTAATGATTTTTCAAATTATCAAGAAGATAAATCAAAAATGAACATTAAAATGAAGTACGTTTGCTTTCTGATAGTCTGCTTGACTGTGTGTGCGTTGCATAAGCTTTGATAAAGTCTGTCTAAAAATGCTGCCTTTTTATAGTGAAGCACAGGCACAGGTGGAGAAGTTCTTTACTAAATACTGATTAGGTTTGTTTTCCAGGAATATTTGATTTTCCTGACCTTTTATGACATTCTAATTTCATGTTATTTAAAATTAAAATGTCATTTTTTATAGTACTTTAATATAGAGTTTATTAGTTTTCCTGAAAGCTATGTGCAGTTTTCCTTTGGCCCATTTAAATATTGAAAACAGCAGGATTTGGGATTTTTCTTATAATCCCCAACTAATAGAGTTTAATACTTTGTTTGGCCTACCCTACACAGCCTAAACAAAAGTTTTAAACAAGATTAAAAGTATGGCCTTATTAACCCACGGCATCCAAAGATACGCAAGAAGTTTGCAGGAACATCAGTCATTCACCAGTCGTGGTAGCACGTTGCCATTTCTCATCTGGGCAATTTTTGCCAGATAAAATGGTCTGTGGGCCTGTGGCAGAGCAGAGTTTTATTTCTGCTGCTGTTCTGGCTGTGCTCTAGCCCTGAGGAATAAGAAATAGAAAAGGACATTTCTAAGACGTCTTTACAGAAAAGGACGTTTCTAAGGTGAACGTGGCACAGCCAGTAAGCAACCGGCCTCCTGAGTGAAAATAAAGTTCAGTTACTTTTTTGAAATTTCAAGTAGAATGTGCTGTGGTCTCAAAAATAATTCTGGCATTGTGAATGGGTAGCAGAGGTCACGCTGTAAGAACGGTTAGCTTTTATTTTCTGCATTTCCTCAGAATAAAATCAGTTGCAAAGTTGTGTTTTTTTGTTCTTAAAGATGGTCAGACCGGTGCTCAGGCTTTTGGATGAACGGTTGATGGACACGTTGCGTTACAGAAGAGTAAAGGATCCCATTGTCATGGAAAATTTACACTTGGTAAACATTACAAAACACAAAATGACATGATACATTCATTGCCGTGTAACAGGATTCCTTGTTTACTGGGCATGCTGTAGGGCCATGGCAACACAAACAGAAATAGGAACTCTGAGTGTTCCTGTTGTAAGGATGAGGGTGGTTATCAAGCAGTTTGTTAATGGCTGGAGTTGTGCATCCCTTGGTGTCCGTTACCAGCTCACGGCATTGCTGGAGGAGGATCTGGGAAGAGGTGCGAATGTGACAGTCTGACTAAACCTTAAAATAAAAAACACAGTTGTGCCCATTTGGAAGTATTTTATGATGTATGAGCAGGTAAACGTGCGTTTAGGTAACATTCCAAGAAAATTGTCCACAAGTGTCTTGGGGGAGAAAATGTAATTTTATTTGACATTAGTCATAGAATCAGAAGACTTTCTAGATTTCAGTCTTTTTTTAATGATGTTCTAAACTAAATCATTTAATATGATGGAATATTATTTTTTTACTTAGTCTTTTTAAAATATCATTGCTTTGCCCACCTTTTCAGCATATCATTGCCTTCAGTAGGGCAGAATGTGGATATGTGACAAGTCCAGTAAGTTTAAAACCTCGTGGAACATTGGAGTCAGAATCAACGCGGAGAAGTTGCTTCTGCTGTTAGCGATCAATGTTTCCAGCTTTAAAATATTTCCAATTTTACAGCATTATTTGCTTTTGTTGTTGTTCTGATGCTTTTTAAAAAGTTGAATGTGACGTGTTTGCAACCATATGTGCTCTAACTGAAAAATGCAGGGTTTTTACACCAACCTTAAGTCTTGTTATGTGGCATTGATTTTTTTCTTAAGTCCTAGGGCAGTGGAAAAGGTTGAAGACGGGGAAGGAAGAGGGTGAAAAGGCCTCAGTTTCTCCCCTTTTTTCCTGTTGTATTTATTTTCCTTAGTTCAGAGCTTCTGGCCTCTCCTGGCTCCTTGCCTTGTTCCCATCAGCAGTGCCAAATCCCTGAAGCAAAAAAATGGTAGTCTTGAGATACAGCGGCTGGGGAATAAAGTGCTCTGCAGGTAGCCCCCGAATCCTACCGAAACCAGGAGTTTATGTCTGTCTGATTATTGACGCTGTCCCCGTTTCAGGGCACGGAGCTTCACCAGCCCTCCGTGCCCGCTGCAGCGGCTGGCGCAGGCGCGCGGTGGCGAGGGGCTGCTGCCGCAGACACTCGTGTTCCTCTGCTCTGCGTTCGCCTGCCGAATCGGGCGCGTTTGCTCCGGCCGCGAAGCCGTCCCGAGCGAGGTGACTCGATGCTGCCGTTCGCTTTCATCAGCGTCGTCGCGTTGCCGCCGTGTCGGAGCAGCCGTGGACCGTGCGGCAGGGTGGAAGCGGCGCGCAGCCAGCGTGACGCTGCCCTCGCTGAGCCGCTTTTGTAAAGTTGTATTAATCATTCGGCGACCAAAATCCCCACCCCTCGGGGACATCTGCATCTGCCCTGTTATTTAAGCGCTGTGTTTTCTTTCTGCTCTTCCTCGGCATTCTTGCCTGGTGAACATGCTTTCAGTTTCGTTTTGGTGATTGTGAATGATTACAGAAAGGCAAAAGTAATAGAAAGCATTTGCAATAAAAGCACTTAACTCAGTAAAGTGAGGTTTTCGGGCTGTGGTCTGTACACCGGGAAGAGCACTGTTCCTGTAAGGGATAAAAAAGCAAACTTACTGTAATGAGCATTACTGCTCTGCTCAGGGTACTGCTCTGGAAAGTGCCAGGGGTTTTCAAAATGCAAAATATTTAAAATAATTTTCTGCATATTCAGAAAATGAAAGGGTTTGTACAGCATAATTTAATAAAGATTAAAAGGTCACTGAGACAATTTAGGACTTTTTTTTTTAATCCTCGGTAATTACATGGCTAACTTGGTTTACCTCAAAGTAATAATTTTATTGTGTATAGCAAAAATGTAATAATGTAAAAAAGATCTGTCGTGGTGCTCTACAATTAAGTTACACCTTACAAGCTCTAAACTAGTAGTACCTTTAGGATGCTAATTCCTGGTTTTACCAAATGTTTGACTATGCATTTCATTTGATTGCAGTATTTAGCATTGAAAATAGCTCCTGTCAGAGTTGCAAACAGCATGTATAAAGAACCATACGAATATAACGGAGGCAAGAGTTTACACTCTGGTTTGCTTGAGCTTGTCTTTTAATTTGTCTGCCATTAGTCCCAAATGAACATGCTCATATGCAGAATTCAGAGTGCTTTGCTAGCTTATACTGCTTGTAGTTAAAAGCTAATTTTGCATGTCTGGATTAGCCCTTTATTATTTATTTTAAGTTTGGTGTCCAAACTGCAAGTTTGAACCCCTCTGTCAGGTTGAGTTCTTTATCCTTCTCTGCTCTGACATTATTTTCATGCTTTAATTTCTGTGTACCTTGCGGTGCTTTGGTCTCTTTTCATTTGTTCCTGCTTTTGGTAAGTTGCACTTTTTTTTTTCTATTTATTTCCAATCTGTGCTTTTCTAAGTAACATCCAAGTATTTCTAGTATTTTACGTTCAAGTGAATCAAAATCTGCTTGATTTTGCAGAATATCTTAGTTCCGTTCTGTCTAAGTCTGCAATAAGTTTTTATTTAAGTGCAATTAGATGCTGCCTTTGAATAGAAATAGATGCTATTCGGTAGACAAGTTGTGAGATATTTAATTGGGTCTGTCTACAGAAGGATTCAGAGACTGAAAGTAGTTTAGTCAATCGTAACAATAGAAAGCAATAGAAAAGAATAGAACTTGTGTTCTGCTTCAGAAAGATTTTCTGCTTTTATGGCTTATAAATTCAATCGTGTGTTTTTTTTAATTGCAGGGAGAAGAAAATGAAAATTCAGGATATTAAAAACAATATTAAAGAAGCTATAGAGGTAAGCTTGCAAACCACTGTTTTTAACTATTCAAAGCTAAATGCTCAAACATTATCTCTAACAATATTTTTCTCTCCATAGACAATAGTGACAGCAATGGGCAATTTGGCACCTCCGGTTGAACTAGCCAATCCAGAGAACCAGTTTCGAATCGACTATATCTTAAATTTAGCTAACCAGATAGACTTTGATTTCCCACCGGTAAGTAAATAATTCTAATTGGCTGAAATCATGCTTTTTCTTCTTTCCCCCCCCCCTTTTTTTCCCCCAAATGGTTATTTTTCACTCTGCTGTATTTATACAAACCTGTGTGCCACGGCAGGTGTCTTGCGTAGGTGCTAATCGAACAAACTGAGTAACAGCACAGCTCAAATATTCACATTGATCCTTCTGAACACAAAGGCACTTGAAAAAATCAGCTAGATCCAATGGGCAACGCTGGCAGCAGTGTCTGGATATTGCTGGGAATTGCCCTGTCCAGAAAGGGGGAAGATCCGTGGTGCAGCTGTCAAGGGTAACTAGCTGGTGTTTAGAGATGCTGCATTTCTCTCTTTTGGAAGAACAGCAGAGCTTCCTTGCTGATTTAGGCGTGCTCTGCAACAGCCAGGATGTCTCTGCAGCTTCCACATGGCGTGTCCTTGCTCACGACCCTCCCAGTGCTAGTTAATGATTCCACACCCTGGAAGCCCCGGAGTAAATGCAGAAAGTAAAAGTATTTGTGTGATGATGCAACTTTGCCTCCCCTCAGTGTGAATAGCTTCTGCCATGTCTCAAGCTGGCAAGATACTTTTATTAATTACTGTGAAGTACAGATACTTGTAGAACTGCAGGAGTGTGATTCCAAAGCTGTCTTCTCCCTCTCCAGTGCTCCTGAGGGCAGGAGTTGTTGTGATGGGTTAAAGTCATGGTCTGCTTGCACCACAGTTTGCTTTCCAGTGTAGTCAGCACCAGATATCTGAAAGGAAAGTGCAAGTGCAAATAATAATCTTATGTGGGATAGTTTGCGCTGTGGCAAAGTTGTGGTAACTCTGTTTTATAACCCCTACTGAACAAGCTAGCCTGACAGATAACTCTTACAAATCTTGATGCTTCTGAGAATTTCTCTGCTTTTCTCAGGTTCTCTTGGTTTTCTTTTTTGTTTGTTTTATTTCTTCTCAATTTTCAAAGTCCAACAAACGTAGGCTGACAGAGAAGGGAAGTGTTGATACTTTGTAGCCCACAAGTATGATATTAGTCATTTTAGCCTAAGGAATCTTAAATAAATTGGTCCTTTTTGAGATCGTGACACCTCTTCAATTTTGGCACCTCTGTTACAGCTATGCGCAAGAATATTCAGGGCCTTCATACACAGTCCCCACCTTCTGGGGGAAGTGAGGGCCAAGAATGTGATGTTTTGAAGATAGATAGTTCTAGAAGAATATTCGAGAGAGAGCAGACAGCTCCTTATGGCTCTCGCGCTGCCCGTGGTTCTGTGATCGCTCAGGTTGGGATCTCCAGCAATGTCCTCACCAGTTCCTGTGACCTACATCTTACTAAGTGCTTGAGTTTTGTCTTGTATCTCGGAGAGATACCTTCAATGGGACTGCAGTGGTATTACGGGTGTATATTTTGCCTCTGGAATCAAGGAGTAGTAGTGTAGTCGTAAGGACTAGTATGAATTATAGAGTAAACCCTACCTAAAGGTAAAATGTATCTGATTTCTCAGTTTATCTGCATGTAGGTTATACTTCTTTTGCACCTGAAAAACTGAACCTAAATATTAATTGTGCCTATTAAATCAAGTTAAGATCCAGAATGTTCCTGGATCCCAATTCTCAGTACATAGTACATGAAATACAAGATTCATATGGACTCTGTTACAGATTAATTAAAAGCATTTTAATCAAAAAATAATGTCGTTAAGGTGGAAAGAATAACCTTATGTTAGCTATGCTTCAGAGTAACTCTTCAGTGTATGTTTAATGTTATTTAACCAAACCGTGTCTCATTCATTTATTCGGCTGCATAGGTTCCCGGTCACTGTTCTGCATGTGTTGCAGTAATGAGATGCACTTGGTATATATTGTAAACTCATGTTCATATTTTTCTAAGCAGTACTTCAGTAAGCTGTCCAGAAAGCAGCATTTCCAAGCAGTGATTCAAAATCAAACAGAAATTTAGTACTGCTATTGTGTTTTTGTGTTTTATTTGGATTTTCTTTGGTGGTTTTAAATTATGTTCAGGCCACATAATTTCTTTTCCAACTGCAGAAGTTTTTCTTTATAAGTGGCCTCATTCTTCTCACATACCTGAAAGAGTAGTTTAAATTTAAAAGTTTAAAATACTCTCTAAAGACTTCAAAATTATCTCTTGTGCAAGCAGGGCTAGAATTTAAGTCTTCTTATCATATCCAGCAGTATGTGAAAGGCAGAAGAAAAACTAAAGGAAGCCTAAAGGTAGCAGCTTTGCCACGCTGCGGTGCTAGGGCAGATCTGGCTCTCTGGGGTTCAGATGGCAGTTGATGTCTTCTGATATGGGAGCTCTCTTCTTCTGCCACTCCACCTGCTTGCTTTGCAGTTTTGACTTGTAGGAAATGTGTGTCAGTTCCATATACGGTAATACATTTCTTAAAAGAAAAAAGAATAAAGAAAACAAGAAACAAGTTAAGAACAATGTTGATACAGTGCAATGCTAGATTAAACATTCTCTTTAAAACTGAAAAAAATACGTTGAGGACTTCTAAATCAGTACGTTTGCTATTAAGCAGTTAAATTTTTTGAATGCAAGTAGTAGCATATGGAGGAAGGAATGTAGCAGTGCTTACTGAAAGGAGTTCTGTCCCCATAATCATGCTGATGGCTTAAAGTACTGCAGTACTTAGTAGATTCTTTTTTAACTTTTTTTTCCACTCTTGCAAAATAAGTTATGCTGATTTAGCCTGAGAAATTGCAAGAGTTCTGTGCAATGGACATGTTAGAAATTTGTTTAAAAGGCAGGTGTGACAGGTTACACACATTGTGCACTTACACTGCATTTTCTGACGTATCTCTATTCATTGAGATTGCATGAAGATAAATAAATAGTCCTTATATGACATTCCTGTTGGAAAAATAACCAGTAAATAAAAGAAGAACATGTGAGCACAGCTTCAAACTGCAATAGGCTCTTTTGCTAGCATTGTTTATGTTGTCTGGAAATATTAGTGATGGTGGTAAAATATCTGTGGACCACTATAAGTCGTGTAAAAGCATTTTGCAGGCATGGATACCTGGTCAGGATTTTTGGTTTTGGTCACGTAAATCACCTAAAATGTTAGTATTTTTAAGAGTATGAACATGGGTATGTTAAAAACCTGTGGAGAATGCTAAGTAGTAAAATTCGGGCCAAACAACAGAATCCTAAGCTATAGTTTGTATGTTAAGTATTTTCTGGCTTAATTTGTTGTCGGTTTCTAAAATAACTTGAGGACATAGTAATTAGTCCTTCAGGGCTAAGAGTCATCAGGGCTAATACAATACTGTTCTGATTTTATTTTGCCAAGTACTTTGCCTCTTTTTGGTTACAATCTATGCTTATTATTATTAGATTTATTGCATGGTCTTTTTCTTAGAGCAGAATGGGGTGGAAATAAGAGAACTCCAATCAGCTATGCAGAGCCCAGTGTTCGTATGGATAGCAGTGATTAATACTGTGGTTGTTATCCTGTTCACAACACTGGGAATGTCTTCTAGCTAAAATGATGGGGCGTTCAGTGATCAAGTGTTGCCACAGAAGTCTACCCCAGTTTGGATGAGCACTGAGAGTAGCAGAGAGATCAGGTCCTCTCGGAGAAGCACTGAGACCGCAGCTCTCGTTTTTCTAATACATCACCATGCCAGTTCTTGATGGAAGATTGTCCTTTTTAAGGCATTATCATTGCCTCTTACTCGAGTTGAGTTTTTACCGTGCTCTTAAATTACCACTAAGCAGTATGATGAGTTTAAGCAAGAAAAGAGGAAATCGAAGGAAAAAAAAAATTTAATCAAACTGAAACAGCCGAGAGAGCTGAGGAATTTAATTCTAATAATCAAGGTGTTTGTAAATGTGCATTAGTTAAAGTCTCAGAGGTGGTGGTCTTTCTCTGTGGATTTATTGGTTCAGAAATGAAGGCACACTGGTGTTACTGCTGTTGGGGTTGTGTTTTACCATTTTATATTAAGCCAAATGAATTTGTAGATGGTTTATAAATTAAGAAATGAACTGTGCTCATCTTTGAGATTCTCTAATGAAACAAGCAGAAAAGTCGGTTTGCTTTGAACAACTTGAGATCCTACTTGAGTTTGTGCTATAAGTGCTGTCTTAGGCATCTCACACTAGCTAAATCCTTTAGGGTTAAGTTTTACTCTAAATTTTCTGTGTAACCAGATTTACATGTGCTTTACAGTGACAACATAGTATTTAAGAATAAAGATCTTGCAAATCAAAATTTAAGACTATTGTTACCACTTTCCCATGTGGTAAAATTAAAAATAAAAGCAAATGATGCTTGTAGGTGAGGATTTCAAACCTCTGTCACAGTTGTCCCTCAATGCATGAGGATAAACATAAAGCATATTTGTACTTGTATGTTTTGAATGTCAAAGTTAGCTTTGCCCAAAATTTCTGTGGATTTTTGCTAAGTCTCACTGACTTCTCTATCTGTTTCAAATATAGGGTGATGCTGGACTAGCTAGGTTAGGGTTGGTATTTTTATTCCTGCTCCGCATACCAGACAGTGGATAGGATATTTTCTCCATCCCTGATACCAGCTATATTAGTGGCCTCTTTCTCATCCTTTTCTTTTAGCTCTTACTTTTGGGAAGAGGAAAGGAAATGCTCTCGTCGTGTGAGCATTTTTCTTTCCACGAGCAACAGTTTGAACCAAGCTGCCAAATAGAGTGTATTTATTTTGGGTTGTAGTCCTTTTATAATTCTCTGGTTTTAATAAAATATTCAGAGAAACAGAACAGTATTTACCACTGCCTATTTTTAATTCATCTGGACCCAGATGAGTCAGATGAAATCCTGAAAGTGCCATAGTAACTTTGGAAAGGTAGTAAAACACAAGCATTAGGTTTTGGAGTAAGAAATAATTGTGGAGTTAATCCAGCACACAGCTGTCTAGATCAAGGAAGATATATATTTAGAGGAGAAAGGGTCCATTTTGGGTGTGCTGCTGGCGAGATTGTCTGCAGGTCCTTTGG